ATCCACCATCCATCCATCCATCATCCATCTATCATCCATCCATTGATCATCCATCCATCCTCCATCCACCATTCATTCACATCCATCCATCCATCCATCATCCATCATCCATCCATCATCCATCTATCATCATCCATCCATCCATCATCCATCCATCCATCCATCCTCCATCCATCCACCATCCATCCATCCACCATCCATCCACTATCCATCCATCATCCATCCACCAACCATCCATCATCCATCCACTATCCATCCATCATCCATCCACCATCCATCCATCATCCACCATCCATCCATCATCCATCCATCCATCATCTATCCATCCATCATCCACCCACCCACCCATCATCTATGCATCATTTACCCATCTCTCCCTCCTACTAGCTGCCAAGCTGTCACTCTCTGTGGGACTCTTCCTTCCTTTCTTGTGTGGCGCGGAGAGGGAGGACTGCCCTCCCAGCTCACGGTGCCCTCCCTGCCTGGGATCTGTAATAAATCGTCAAACTGGTTTCCTATCACTGTGCTGAATTTGCCTCTTCTGTCAGAAGAACCAGGAGCTGCCTCGGGCAGGGCTCCCAGTGCCAGAGCGATGGTCAGGCAGGCATATGCCAGACACGGGTCAGATACGAGCCCCAGGGCAGCTGCTGCGTAAACATGTCGCTCGTGTGAGGGGTCCCTGGGGGGGGTCAGACAATCAGGTATAAGGCACCTGCCAGGTAACAGCGTCCATGCCAGGTGCACTGAACCCAGGTCTGGCTCCTGTTGCGTCCCGCCAGGGCAGGGCTGCCAGCTGCTCTGGCACTGGACCTGGCGTAGCTGGGGCTCTCCATACACTGGAGGTGTGGCATCTGCTTGCTCTTGAGAGGCGTGAAGACCAGAAACTTCAGCCACAAAGTTGATGTGCCCCCCTCAGCAGCCCTGAGAGACTCTAAGCTCTACTTCCAGGCATGGAATGGATCTCCAGCAGCGTCTGGGGTGCCGACCCCACATCTCTGAGCTCATGCCACACAGGCCTGATCCTTCCACTCAGAGGGCTGCGAGCCCCTCAGCCCTGCAGGGGATTTTTCCAGGGGTTTGGGGGAAGCTGGAATCTGTGGGGCGGATCCTGGCTGAGTGCCCGCTGCGTGGAAGGCACAGTTCTCACATCAGAGGTGTGTCTAGAACCCTGGCCTTGCCATGCAGGACGTCCTTTCGGGGGAGGCTGCCCACTAGACGGGAGGCTGCCTGCGGGCAGGGCCTGAGGGGGTTGGGAGGCAACCCTGGGGCCAGAGACCTGAAGGTGCAGCTCTGGAGAAGGAGCCAGGCCCACCACAGATGAAAGGGCCTTGCAGACAGGCAAATAGCAGTGCAAAGGACCAGGGGTGAGGAGGGACAGGCAGGCTACAGGCCAGCTCAGAGCACTGGAGCGGAGACCAGGGAGGCTGGGCAGCGCCTCGGCAACTCAGTCTGAACCACAGGCCTCCGCAGGACTGCAGGGCAGGCCCGGAAGGCAAAGTGCTGGCTCGCAGGGCTCACAGCCATTTTCTAAGAGCCTCAGGCACTGAGTTCGATTCCCTAGCTGTGCACCTGGGGTTTCGTGGCAGGCTCTGGCTTGTGAGGTCCTGCATGCTGCTCCCACGTTTCGCTCATCGTGGGGACTTGCAGATAAATTTGTTAAAAGAAGAAAAACGCCGGGCGCGGTGGCTCACGCTTGTAATCCCAGCACTTTGGGAGGCCGAGGCGGGTGGATC